TTTAGGTACCGCTTTTATTAAAGGTAGTTTAAACGGTACCTGTTTAAAGTTAACTTATGTAATTATTCCCTAAGCCTTCATTATGCTCGTATTGCCCCAATAACCTGCTTAGAAAATTTTACGTTACCTTGTATATTTTTGTTTTTTTGTGCATTTATGTTGTCACCCAATATATTCCAAGTACGCCTTTGTTCTAAGGCTAATGATCTATTTCATTCAATATGTTTGGTAAATCGTAAATAGGGGATGAAATAACCATTGTAGAAAAATGGTTTAAAATTATATTATACAATCTGATAAGAATTTGTTTCTTAGTGTAGATCGGGGATTGGTGACTGTCTTTTTCGCTACATCACGATTGTTCCGTGTACAAGTCAGTTGTTTTATTTATATGTTATTTTTATTTATTACATGTTCGTGTTTTTCAGTCTTAATGTACTACTACTACTGTGTTACTACTAATGTACTTTGGGAATTTAATGATCATTTGTGTTAATTTTCTCTTTGTATACGAATGAACACAAATGATCACTTAAACATTAGTGTTGTGGTAAAAATGATTATAGATATTTCACGATAATTTATTTAATCATAATAAGATTTGAAGGGCTACAGTTGTATAAGGATTCATTCAATAAAACTTACTGATTTTATTGACTTTATTTTAAACCTCACCCTTTTTTTGTTCTGATTTTAAATTGTAATAATCGCTTTGTTTTCTAATTGTAGAATAACTTATGTGAAAGGTAATAAGCGACAAGCGACTAGCTACTTCACACATTCGACCGATTCCCAGTAATAAGTGGATCTAGGGAACATTGCCTTAACTCCCCAAGATATCCTTAGACTAATACAATTTTAAAACATTAAAAGTAAAGTAACAGCCTATAAATGTCCCACTGCTGGGCAAAGGCCCCCTCTATACAGAGGGTATCAGGGCATAGTCCACCACGCGGCCCCACTGCGGATTGGCGGACTTCACATATCTTCGAAAAATATTTTTTTTTTTTTTTATTATTTCGAAAATATGCAGGTTTCCTCACGATGTTTTCCTTCACCGCGGAGCACGTGATAAGGCAGCACTTAAAGTTAAAAACTTCATTGGTGCCGGCACCGGGGATCGAACTCGGGTTGCTCGAGTATATTGAATTAAAGGCGAGCGCCCGGACACTGAGCTAAAACATTAAATTTTCATATATATTTTATGTCATTGCACTTTAGAACGGCAAATAGGTTCCAAATTTGAGGATATATGTATAGAAGGTATATGGTAATCGAAATAAAAACACCAAATCACTGTTTATCACTTTTTATAATTTATTTTCACAACATTTTTTTTGTATTAAGTTTTCTGTAAAATTTACAATAGCTTATAACTTCCTCACAAATATATAGTAACCGTTTTATGTAAGCTAACAACGGCGCGTCGACGCCCTGCGACTGCGATCGCGGGCCGTGCGACGTGGAAGAGTAACTAAACGCAGTAAATATATCTGAATAGAAACTAGTTTAAGCTTAGTGTAGCATATGGTGTTATGAACTAGCATCCCCTAGACAACTAGAGAGTCGGGATTGTCGCGTGACCGCTTTTAACATATGAGCGACACGCGACACCGCGCGGTTTCTTCGCGACTAGGCGGCAGACGGCAGCGGACGTATGTGACGCACTAATTGAGTGTTTGCCAAACAATACGCTCACGACCGGCCAATGGTTCGACGAACTCTGCAGTGTGCTGTAAACGTTCGTCAAATGCTCAGTGAGATATCGATGCGTTCGAACATGTTCGATCGAATTTCTGGCGGCGAACTTTGCCAGTTTGAACGCGCGCATGGTGCCGAACACTTAATGAAACTGGCTAGCGACAATAATCACGGAAAGAATTTAAAGAGACGTTTTAAACTATGATATGTTTCCGTTTGTCGACCTGAACATAATACCGCTGCCGCTTGCCTGAAAGTCTAGAGCTAGACACAGCGCATAATGGGGCGTTCGCACGCTTTCCAGTAAACAAACGGACTCATAGCATTTCGTTCAGACTGGATATCCAGAAGACATAACGGCGAAAGGCTGCCGAGTTGAGATATATGCTGTTCTATGTTAGAGATAAAAATCTTATAACGTACCACGCTTATATGGATTTAGCAAGGCCGTATCAAACTCATTTAAAAACCTCGCTACACTTAATCGAGTTTCCTTTTAGCCTCTCGACTAATGGCTTTTGAAAATTAATTCAATACGCAATCAAGTCCTGTATGTTACCGCTCTTATTTCTTCCTAATTGCCCAGCCAATTGCCTTTATTTGCGGCGATTTTAATCGATCTCGTTTTAAAGTGCATACCTCGCCGATCGTATCCATTATCTTGCGGCAATAACGTGGATACGTTCGCGTACCGAATTTAACATAGTCATTATATTTTCTTCTATTAGCGCGAAGTAAACAAGCGATTATGTAATCGGGCCTTCGATTTCCCTTGGGCGCATCGCATACGCATTATCTCGACGCAGCAACCTTCCGATCGACCGTCAAAGGCAACACTATAATGGCTTTCGAAACAGGTAAAAAGCATGCGAACACCCCAACCGGTGATTGGATATACTTCTTAAAGTTAAACAATAAGGCTAGCCGAAAACTCATGGTAACTATAGAAAAAAAAAAATATATAATAAAACCCTACAAACTACATTGCAATGTCTCTCTGAAAATATTTATATAACGTTTCTTGAAATACATAATAGTTAGACCGTTAACTCGAAGTCTGGTTACTGTTAGAACTGGTTAAGTGCGGAAGAACTTGAATTGACCAGCGACCGATATCATCTCACAGCCTCGCAAGAATTCGCAACTCAGTGCTTAGTGGAAACCTCTTCTACAGAATGCGAACGATGATACCGGCTAATAGACTAAAAAAAAAAATAAAAGACCAGTCTTTTTAACACCTCTACCTGTGCACTTCGACTATTAGGTTTACCATTGGTGGCAAACACGTCTTTTATAATGTTCTAGGCAATCTTTCTCGGTGAACCAACGCTCAGAGTGTAATTTAAAAAACAAACAAAGTAATAAAGAATATATTTCAGTTAGTACGCGCAAGGAGGTAGTCGATTTTGACAAGTTATGCCGATAGCCGATACACGAATACAATAATAATCACAGTTGCATTGACCTGGTCCTGCGAGCGAAACGGCAAAGCATATTGCGGGAAAACATCGCCACTTGAATAACCACCCACACAGGGCGGATGTCGATTAACTATATCCTACCCGAAGGACCAAGTCGGTTTATAAAAGACAATAATAAAAGATGAGAAAAACCTGTCGAAAAGACTACAAATCACAACTTAGATGCCTGTCTCGATATAGTGAGAGATACCTCTAACGTTTAAAACTTACAATCACTCTTAATACGAATGGAATATAGTTTAGATTCCTTTAGCTACATTATGTACTTCATTTATAACTAAGTACAGACGATCGCGAACTATTAATTACATGTCTAATTAGGGCTATTACATTTCAAAAGGTTCCAGCTGCGTTTTTCGTGATCGTAAATGCAATATTATAATGTTTATATATACACAATTTCCCTTTTCCACTAACGATAATTGTAAAAACTACGTAGACATCGTATCGATAAAGAAATTGATAATTTAATAGTGCTTTAGTCAGCAATTAGTACATTTTGGCCGGGAACTAATGCACTGTCGTTTTTAAAACAAATACTCTTGTTTGCTGTGCACGCGATTCGTGCAATGAGCAATGATAAACCAACGCGTACTGTCAAGTATCAAGCTTTCATGACCCGATAGAATGAATCGTAAAATTTGATGTTTGTTAAAATAATAACATTATAAGGAGCAGTTGTACTTTGACCTTATATATTTTATTGTTGTTTCAAGGCGTTTAATTCCAATATTCGCCATATTTACAGGAAACGTTCTATACAAGTAATTGACAGTTTTATAGATAATATAATAAATGTCCACGTAGCTTTTTAATACACTTGACGTCGTGAAAAACGCAACTGTGTGAAAATCACATCGAATTCCGATACAATATATCTTCAGAAAAATCCATTTATACAAAAAGCCGAAACGAGTAAAAATACATTATATTTTTCGAAGATAAAAATGAGATCCCTAAATTTGGTTCATTAGTGAGCAAGTCAGTAGTAATAATTCGTCCAAAACCCCACAAGACTCCCGAAGTTATAAGATATCTCTAAAAAGCTGGTTGTACTTGATTGACACGTATACGTAGCGTACGAGAAACAACTAAGTATATATCCTTGCGTTCCACGTATACATAATTTTATCTTTGAACATGCGTTGGCAAATTTAAGACATGCACATTTGGCCGGACACTTTTAACACCGTCGTTCCTATATCTTTATTACATAATATATATAGTTAAAATACAACAATAATAATATATCTCTCTATTGAATTTAACTAGACAATAATGCTATGTAAGTATATAATCGTAGACAACATTAGTTAATTCTATAACAATTAAATCACAATTTTTCATACCATCTACTGTTTTAAAAGACTTTAAAGTTAACAAGGGGACAATGACCCCACTACTCGTAAATGTTCTTAAAATATGCGTTATACTGTGTTTATCGATTAAAACGAGTGAACTTTAATATTGTACACACCTTAGATATATGCATTTTTTTGTGATTTTATATTTATTTTATTTTTATCTTTTTATAGTAACATTAATTTGTTGCTTCGTAGGCCAAGCCGTATACAATACTAGAGCGGTCACGGAACTGTAAGTATAAGAACAATCCACCTACAATATTAGATGAATAAATATGCATGTACTAAAATAGAATTTATTCTTATCTCGCCTTCACTTTCTCCAAGGAGGAACGGAACTTTTAACCATCACTGCGCATCGAACCGCAGAGTGATGGGAACTTGAAAATCGTAACGTGTAAGTTTTAATCTGGATTTCGATTGAGATGGTTGACAAGAAATTTCTACGCGCTCAGCAGTCTTTCAATTCGCAATTATAAGACGTGCAACGGCCGATCTGGAACAACTCGCCGCTTTCCCGACGCTTACCGGAGAGACATGCCGCTACAATGTAACGAATACTTTACACATACGACAGAAAAGCTTAAGAAGTAATTAACTAGTCTTTATGGGGCCGCGGCGGCGTGCGCGCGTCCCTAATTTTCGTACTGCCGACATGTTGACGCATCAACACGTGGGGAGTACGAGTGGAAATTAGGCCGCGGCGCACACCGTTCGCCGCCGGCGGCCGGTGTGAAGAGGGCGCCTCGGGGTTGCGGTGTGAGCGGCGGCCGCCGGGCGCGGACTATGTACATTTGGCACTGGGGGCGAGGGGCGGCGCGGCCCGTCACGCGGGGCACAGCGGCACGCGGCAGCAGTCGCACGCACACATGCACGCGCACGCCGCGCACGCACACACGCACACCACGTAGCCGGGCATCATGCCGCCCATCGCGCCCATAGTGCCCATGCTGCCCATAGTGCCCATAGCGCCCATAGCGCCCATAGTGCCCATACTGCCCATAGTGCTCACGCAGCCGACGGGCGCGGGCAGCATGAGGGGCGCGCGGGCGCACAGCTCGCGGCACGCCATCGCCTCGATCAGCGCGAGAGTCTGCCGCCGCTCGTGGCCCATCAGGCACACGGTCGACTCGCGTACCACGCCGTGCAGCAGTGTCAGGTACCTGTGCAGGGGACACGCCGTGAGTGCACGCCGCGGACGTCGGCGCAGTGTTTGCCAACCGAGAAGGCTGCAGCGGTGGGCTACCGTACCTGTGCTTTAGCGCCTCCTCCTCCCGCCCCACGAAGTGGTTCCGCAGGTAGGCCTCGAGCTTGGCTCGCTGCTGGCCCAGCTCCGGGAAGTCGATGAAGAACCGCGAGCACATGTAGCGCTCCAGCGTCTTGATCCTGTCGGGCCGCGCCGCGCGGTAGCCCTTGGCCAGCAGCGCGCAGTACTTGAGCAGCCCGCCGCCCCGTATCTCCTCCGGCTGCCTCGTGGCGATCAGCTTCTCGGAGAGGTGGAGCAGCGCCTCGTTGAAGTCCCCGTACACGGACTCGCCGACCACCGTCGGGTAGAAGTTCTCGCCGATGGGCAGCTGCGCGCACTCGTGGAACGCGAGCAGCGAGTCGAGCGCGATCTGGAACGAGTCCACGGAGAACTCGAACTGGCGGCGCATCGTGTCGACGAACTTGAGCTCGACGGACTTGTGGCCGCGCGAGTTGCCCAGCGAGATGAGGGACCAGCGGTCGCCGTCGGAGTTGACGCGCACCATCTTGGAGACGTAGGCCTCCTTGAGGCCGGCGGGCGTGGCGCGGCGGCGCGGCGTGGCGGGCGGCAGCAGCGTGGCCAGGTGGCCCAGCACGGCGGCCTTCACGCGGTCGCAGTGGCGCGCGGTGGGCAGCTCGGCGGTGAAGATCAGGTCTATGTCGGAATAGGGCTGCGGCCTGTCGGCGAGCACGTGGCTGGCGGCGCCGCCGTTCAGCCGCACGTCGCGCACCGCCACCCCTGCGCCGCCCTCGCTCTGCGCCGCCTCCAGGCGCGCCCGCACCCCGGCCACCAGCTCGCGGAGGCGCACGTGCAGCGTGGGGAAGTTGCCGCGCCCGTGGATGGGCACCACCTCGTCCATCACGTCGTTCAGCCGCCGCACCTGCTCGTAGCTGAGCACGGCGTGCCGCTCGCCGCCGCCGCACCCCTCCTCGGACGAGGTGTAGCTCGATTCGCTCTGCAACAACAACGCACACTTCAGCCCGTGGTGTAACAGCAGTTTTTCGACCCGCGTCATCAAATTTTCACAGCTATACCCCTTACAGGCTACCAAAGTTATACATTTTGTTTATTTGATCCAGTATGCTGTTTACTTTTTTGTTATTGTACGCTATAAATCGATGCCGTTCCTAGATTCTAAATAAGCTTCTACGATACAAATCTACATTCGCGAAGCAACTTTGAGGGTGACGCAAATATTAGTTCCAAGTAGGAATTGAAGCCACGATCAGTACCGTATATGAACACGCTAAATGAACTACGAACTGTCTAAAACTTTGTAACCGTGACTGATAAGCAACCGCTACTGATATAAAACAAGTTCCTGTATTACACACCGCACACAAAACTCAACCAAAGTCCAGTTTCACGGATATCACGGCAACAAGTTCCTTGCGAAACAATTGATAGTAGACAATGCGGTCTCACGAACCGGTCTTCGGCTACAATGGACATAAACGGCTACGGGCGTGAAATGCACGTCCACGGGGCTAAGGCACCCGGAACCGTCCGCGAATGGGCTTCCCCGAAATGCTCGTGCCACAGCAAGACGGCGGTGTGACGCAACGCACCTCAAGCAAGGTAGAAGCCGTAATACACCGATCAAGGTCGCCGAAACGAAAAACAAGTGAACAGAGACATGATATTTGCATAAGCATACACATGGCGCACGAGCGACCTCAAATCTCCATAATTTTCACACGTCGATTTGAAACAGTGTCAATACCGTTACGATTCTAAAAATAGTGACGCGCGATTTTCTAGCACTAAAATATTCAAGAACACTTCTTGTCAAAACTTCAACTTTACGTTTGAATACGCTTCTTGTTTCCAACCAATTGTATTATATAAGACACAGACCTTCTGACATTCTTAGTCAATCCTAGCAGCTAAGCTCATAAATAACGCCTGGTGTGACTAAAAAGTAAAGTAAATAAGTTCAAATATAATTCAATTCTTCGAACGGATGGAGCTCGAGTGACCGACGTTTCATTATCTGTATCGAGACGGATAATCTGTATGCCTCTATTAAATTAATTAGCTATGAATAAGGAGGTCATTACCGAGTAAACAGCGGGCCGAGCCGAGAGTAATAAAAAGTGAATGGGAGGCAAATTGAGTCGCAATGAAATAATTCCGAGGTACGCCGCGGTCCGCGTTTAAAATCGAAGCAAAATGCCAGCATATTACAGTGTTAGTTAATAAATGCGCTAAGATATTCGATGACCATGATTTTAATAGTTATGAAGACGCCGTCAGTCTGTGCCGATAAGTAAAAATGATCCCATTGATTGATTCGTTGCACTAAACAAAAGCTGGTTCAATTGCATAATTAATTAACTAAATTCTAAATGAAATATTGAGATGACTTAACCATCACGCTATTCAAGACAATCTTGATATTATATAAGCGGAGAAAACTTACCGCATGAAAAAGAGAATAGCCTTATCATTACCAAGTTAAAACGTTAATTATATTATGCGTATGAAAAAATTAAGAACCGCAGCCGTGTAGCGAAGCTTTCTAATGCGAGCATCTTCTAATGCATCTGCAGCGAGATTTTTTTGTGATCTTTCTGATTAATTAAAAAGATTTGGGTGCGACGAACAATATTGGTATGCAAAGAAAAGCACGGGTGTAAAGTATAATTTTGTTTTTTTGTTTTTTTATTTATAAGTAAACCCGCCGGCAACGCATTGTATATATTAATAATCTATGGACATTGCTTGTTGTCAAATGTCAATACTCTCTCACTCATTTTATTTTAGAAATCAGTCGCCAAACGTAGTGATTACATTCTCTTTGTCAGTCGCAAATAAACATCCCTGAAGTCAACACATTAGTTTTCTTTTACTCCGCAAGCTACTGAAACGTGAACCATATCCCCTACAGCGGGTGTAGCCATGTATTTAGCGTCCACTCTGCTATTAGAGAGCCGTGATAGCTCGGTGACCGGGCTGCATTTAATTAAATTTACTCGAGCAACCTGAGTTCGATTCCAGTGCCGGCGACAATGAAACGGCAAATACTTCGAAGATATGTGTATTTCTTAAATCCGCAGTGGGGTCGCGTGGTGGACTATGCTCTAATTTGTATAAAGTAGGCCTTGGTCCGGCAGTGGAAAATTTGTGGGCTCTAACTTCTTTTACTTTCTCTGATATCCCCTCCATGTTTACGAATCGGTATGGGAATTTTTAAACATGTGTGAAATATAAAAAAAAAGTAAGTGACGCACGGCCGGTGTTTTCAATTACAACATTTTATAGTTAGTTTTTTCCTTCCATTCCAGTCTGCCATTCCATTGTAATCGCCTTATCTTTCTGTTAGAGTGTATTGAAAACCAAAAGATAGCATCAAAGTACGTACTAAGCACTAGAAGAAATCAAAGAGAATCGTGTCCTTAAGAATTTTGAACAAAAAAAACCGACTTCAAACAGGAAACTAAAAAAACATTATCAACGCCTATAACATTTGAGGATTGCCCTCGATTTCTCTGGGATGCCATCATCAGATCGGTGGGATTCCTACCACCCTTGAATCATTACAATCGGTTCATAAATGACGAAGTTATCCCCGAACACAAAAAAAATAAAAAGATATACGGTCGAATTGAGAAACCTCCTCCTTTTTTGAAGTCGGTTAAAAAGTCTAGACACCTACGAAGCAATAAGTAAAGAGCTGCTTAAACTTAATAAAAAAAAATATCAAAGTACCCACAGAATAGATAAAAGAGACATATTCTCTTATTCCGTGCAAGTGTAATTCTCCATTTAGCTTACATTAACAATAATATTGGATTTGTCGGTAAGTTTTGATTTTCTGTAATCCGACAGCACAAAAGGATGATAGAATATGTCTTTCTATGTAATGGATACTTTATTTATGTTGTTTTATATTTTACAAACGTCGAAGATAAAACGCGACTTGAGTAATACAAGCTTTTAAAGGATAATTATTGGATATATTAATGGTGGTAACGTCCAAAATTTTAATTTTTCGAGTCTAGTGGTTAATGGATAATTTTTAAATATTTGTTAAAAGGTGAATTTATTAAATATTATGAATATCACATTTTATATTTGATTTTAAAGAGTTCTCTGATGTATTCGATTTGTGTGTATTGATGAGTCTGCCACTTGCGCCAGAGGGTGTGGTTTCGATCCTAATAATTGGAAAAATATTGTGTAATGAATATAGTGTTTTTCCACTGTCTGTGTGTTTATATATTTATATTATGTATTTGTTGACGAAAGAAGAGTTTATCAGTTTTCTAGTACCCACAGTACAAGCGTTACTTAGTTTGGTACTACAGAACATTGTTTAAAAATGTGTCCTAAAAAATATTTATTAATTTATAATTATTGTTCGGGGCCCAAGATACAATACCAAAGAAATTGATATGGGACCACAAGAAGGCTAATACGAGCCAAATTAAAAAATCATTCTCAAATTGGTTCATAAATGAATTGATATGGGACCACATAAAGTAAAGTAAAAGTAAAGTAACAGCCTATACATGTCCCAAGAAGGCTAATACGAGCCAAATTGGCGGAAAAAATCATTTTTTTTTTGTTATTATTCTCGAAAAAATCGTTTCATAACCGCGGAGACGGATAATTCTGATATAACACCTTTTTTAACGTCGGCAGAAAAACGTAACCATTTATCTTTATATTATCTTAATTAATACATAATCCGTAGCATGGAAGAAACTATTTTGGAAAGTGAATTTCTTCTAATTTTCTTCGCATAATTGGATAACGACCGATTTAGTAATAATTTATAAGAGCGGTCGGCGGATGAATACGTTAAGGAATTATACCATTCAGAAGTTTCGGACAATTTACAATATAAATAAATATCCAAATCCTTTTAGTGCGGTATAGAACTTGACCAGCTCAAATCAAATCATTTATTCATCGAAATAAGAAATATACATTTCATCTATCGATAGTCATTTTTTTAGTCTACCACCGTTAGGTAATGAGGTTCCTCTAACGGAGAAGAAACAGGCGAAAGAAACTCCGTAGGTATCCTATTAGTGTATTTTTTTTTCTCAAACAGAAATACATTGTTATACAGTATTTTTTTTTAAATTTAGAAACAGCTTAGGAGCGATCATCTCATTCCCAGGGGTTATTATCGTTAATGTACTCTTTTATATTGTAATAACCGTTTTAAAAAGTTTTTCTGTAATAAATTTGTTAAAATTTCTTAAATTGCTTAAAAGCTGAAGTTGACAAGACAGTATTTCACTATAGCTTATGTTTTTTCGCCCGCATTTTTATATTACACACTAGTCTACTGCCCGCGACTACGTCTGCGTAGAATAGGCTGAAGGCGTAACATTCAGACAGAAATACATAAAATATGGACATAAATTTTACCCTATGTGTTATCCTGATGTATAAGCTAAATCATTGTAAAGTTTCATTAAAATCAATTCAATAGTATTTGCGTGAAATAGTAACAAACATCCATCCATACACACAAACTTTCTCCTTTATAATATTAGTAAGGATTTGAACAATCAACATCTTTGTTCGGAGAATAACACTTATCGGAATAACAGGGTGCAATGGGCACAAGGCCGATACTGAGATGTACCGCTCTCTTTATTTTACAACAACGCCTCCGGACGTCCGGAGATAAGCTGACGCTTACGACTGCATCGCTCATCAGTGTTATAATCGTTCCGATGCAATTTACACGACCACGGAGTTCACTAACGTGATGTAAGCACAGCTTGCGCATTTCTCTTTATGGTCATATCCATCGTAATTATAGGACGCAAGTACCAGTAACACATTATCATAGCTCATATACATCCCACAGCTGGGCAAAGGCCTCCTCAGTACGCAGGAGGCCACCACGCAACCCAAGTGCGCATTGGTGGATTCACATATCTTAGAAATATTTGTTTTGTTATTATTTGGAAAGTACCGTGTAGGTATTTT